GAAGGCCCGGCGCAACATCGCTTGTCGAAGAGCGGACAGGTGACGAGGTAGCGGATTGATTTTTGACCTTAGGTTCTTCTGTTGTGCCTGCTGTGAGAAGCTTCTTTCCGTTTGCACTAGAGTGGACCTTGGCTCTGGCATCTTGTTCTTCCATGGCTCGTTTTCGTGCTGCAGACATTGCTCGAAGTCCCGCCCCAATAAGTCCCATTCCGGGGTCATCAGAATCTCTATTGTGCAGAACATGCTGCTGTGCTTCTCGAGCTTCGACGGTTCCGAGGAGGAGGGGGTCCGAATTCTCCCCATTTAACGCCCAGGCTGCCGCAGCCTCTTCGGGGAAGTCTTCAATATAAACGCCCATCTCATGGTAGAAGGAGAAAGCGCACCAACCTGAGTCACCCAAGGCTCGTTCGCCGTTGATTTTTGCCTCCGTGAGAAGTGCACCGTCTTCGTCAGAGATTAGATCAAGGTGTTCGTCCAAGTATTTGTTACAGACTTTTAAGGTCTCAGTTACTTCGGTCTCGGTAAATCCGACCCAGTGGAAGCTGGATCGGCGGAGATTGCTAATCAGTTCATCGAGGGATTTGCGGTTTTTTGGATGGAACATATAATCCTCGTCTACCCTCTCCGAAGTCACAGCATTGGAAGTCAGGACCAGCCTGAAAAGGTTCATGCTGAGCTTGTCGTAGTAGCTCGGCTCAAGATAGACTGTGGTGTTGTGCAAAGGAGGAAGGACAAGATCGAAGTCAATGTCCTCAATCCGATGGCGGATGATGAGCGACTGCAGAATCACTCGCAGTGCTGGTGCGGAACGACGCTTGCCAAAGGTATCGAAAGTAGACAGATATCTTTTCCAATCGGCATGGTCGGCGCCTTTCTGGTTTGCCCAGGGTTGCACCTTGAGAAATCTGACAACGATGGCGCGTAACCGTTCCATATCTTTGAGCTCTTCGGTCTCAGAATCCCTAGCTTTTCTTCGTTCTAGTGCCATTTCGATGGAGTGTTTCCGAAAAGTCTCCGTGTCCCTGTTGGTTTCGTTGAGCGCAAGATTGACCTCGACCCCGTGAAGCGAGTGAGACGGTGTGCCGGAGACTATCCAACGGCGTTCAATGGACATCTTGTCCAGCATCGTCATTGCATGTGTTCGATAGCTGGAGCCTGCGAAGCTATGTCCCTCGTCGCAGATTACCCGCAGCCATCGCACTTCGGTCAGCTGAGACCGAAATTTCTCCTGACCCTTGAAGCGTCTACCTTGGTTGAGATCATCATCCCTGTATTCTTGCTCAAAACGTACTTTAGTCATCAGAACAATGTCATATTTCATCAACTCCTTCCAATGTGGTATTTCTTTCGTTGTAGAGTCCAAGACCAACAAATCAAGTGCATCTGCTTGAGTGTGCTTTTTTATCTCATGTTGCCATTGAACGAGAAGATTGGGCGGAACAATCACCAACGTCGAACATGCAGGGCGCAACACTCGTGTATCTTCTCTTTGCTTACCTCTTCGGTTCGGCGTAGTCGGATGGAAGATGGGCTCGGCATACTCGCCATTGTACTTCGCCAGAGCTTCAGCGCACCGATCAAAGTGGTATCCCTCCTTTCGGAGATTCGAAAAATGAGTTTTCCAGGGCACGCCGATTTTTTTGATCGTCTTTGCGGCCAGGTCAAGCAAGCTTGGTGTCCGTTCATTAAGCTTCCAAGAAGTGACGTTCAATCTACCCTCTGGAATTGTAGGATAATGTCCCCTGGTTGCCAGGATCAAAGCAATGCATATCAGTGTCTTGCCGTAGCCCATAGTTTCGGCGAGAATGCCACCGCGACATTGACTATAGAGATGAGGGTGACGGAGAAGGACACCTTCATGGAGGTCGAGATAGAACTCTGTGCCATTGAGATCTCGAAAACTCTGCTTTCGGGGGTCGAGAGATTTAGAAGGATTTACCTCCCTTCGGAGCATGGTGACCACCGACCGCTTTTGGTACGGATACAATGAAGTTTTGAGACCGCCAATGTTGTCTTCAAAGACATCCCGCATTGAGTGCTGATTGTGGGCACAAGAACCTGCATCGTCGAGGCAAGTCTGAGGAGAGGATAGAGTGTTGAAGATGTAAAAGAGAGATTCCTCCTGAGAGACATCTGGTTCCCTATAGGTTTTCAAAGGCGACGCCGGGTCGTAATTGCCATCCCAAGCCTCGAGAGAAATGTCGATGAAGCTGGTGATGAATTTCAAGACCTTTCTAAGATCCTTGATCGAGCCCCGAGTACTTCGCTTGACATCTTCTGGTAGTGCGTAGACTCTCAAGGATGCGGAATCCGGGTTTCTGGTATGTTGAAGAAAAGAAGTTTTGATCCATGACCGTTTCTCCCCTAGTGTCAACAGAGGATGCTGGTGCGTGGCTTCTCCGTCGGAGCCAACCATTCGCCAACCGCCATTGAGACCTGATTCAGGGTATCTGACAAGTCGGATAGATCCAAGCGCGATATAATCCTCCACCAATGTCGGTGACTCCGAACGAAATTGTTCAGTTGGGTTGCAAATCGAATCTGGAGCTTGGGTGGTGAATAGAGATCCCGTCATACCATTCTGACACTTATGCGTAGCGTCAGCTCAATGCTAACCGGAGTAAGGTGTAGACGTGAGTGAGTGAGTGTACCTGGAGATTCAGCTCAAGGGGTAGAACTGCGTGTGAGTCTTCAGTTGCAAAGCAACTATCGGTGCTCGAAGGGCCGACGAAGAACTGATCATTGTCAAAAGGTTGATCTTCATCGTCTTCATGAATTTGATTGGAAAGTGAATGTGGATATGACTTGGACATCATATTGAGGTGCAACCCAGCTCGCCAGGCCTTCGTGACTAGTTGATGACAGGAGAGTAATTCCTGGCGAGGTGGATGGAAATAACGATTTAGTTGGAGGGCCTAGTTTTTTTGTCTGACAGAAGTTCTACGAATATTGGACAATATTGGGCCCTCAAGACCCCCCACAAGGATATTGTCAGACGTTCAATTTTTCCGGGAAGGCTGAACTATCAATCCACTGCAGCCTAATCAAGGGGCCCAGCCCTCTCGATACCTGGGATACATCTGGCAAGGCTGCGTTTTAGGGTCTTACTCATCTATGGAACTACCAGACCAAATAACGGAAACAAGTGGCAGCCATCGTACCTCGTTCGACTATTCGGGACAGCTCACTACACACCCCTGACATAAAGCTTCCCACTTTTCACCGAAACCTCATGGCCTCGAGGTTGATCGTCCAACAGGAGTGGTAGACTTTGATGGAGGAGATAAAGAAGAGCGAGGTCATGAAGCAGGCAAAAGAGATACGTCCGCTCCCCCTGGGAACATCTCTCAAGGAACTCGCCGTGGACTATCGGGAAAGACAAGCCGGGCGCTCAAGTGGCTGACAAATCCAACCTCTGCTTTAATACACGAACCTCCCGCTGTCAGACTCGATGATCTTCCAGGTCACATCCGAGCCTCACCACCAGCCCATGTCCTTTGCTCCCATACGGCAACACTTCCTAAAAATGACAAACTACAATATCAACGTCACCAGCGACCTCAACTGTCCATGGTGCTATATCGGCTTTTCTCGGCTCTTGCGGGCCATCACTGAACATAAAAAGACGTATCCCGACGACACCTTTCACTTAAAATACTTTCCATTTTATCTAAATCCGCCACCCCAGCTGACCGCAGGTAGTGGTCCAGCCCCGCCACCTTTCCCGGCGCCATCGCGTCCAAGGCGCGAAATGTACGCAGCCAAATTTGGGCCCGACCGCGCGAAGCAGATTGAAGCCATGATGAGCCAAACCGCGCGCAGTGAAGGTTTGGATTTTAAATTCGGTGGGATGACAGGTCCCTCGAGAAACGGACATAGGCTTGTCCATTGGGCACAGGTCAAAGGAGGCGAGGAATCCCAGAATACGGTTATGTTGGGTCTTTGGAGACGCTATTTTGAGCAGGAGGTTGATATCACCACTCTCGACACCCTCGTCGAGGTCGGTTTGGAAGCTGGATTGGGAACCAAGGAGGAAATCACTGAGTACTTGACCTCTGGCAGGGATGGGGAATTGGTCGACAAAGAAGCTGAGGAGGCCCATAAGAAGGGAATCTCCGGTGTGCCCTTCTATGAGATTAATGATATGTGGGAGGTGTCAGGGGCACAGGATCCCCTCGCTTTCAGGAAGCTGTTTGCGAGGTGGAAGGAATTGGAGGCCAAGGGACAAGTGCCCGTGGGCGGCGCTGGTGGGAAAACGACCGCTGGAAATGGTTGCTTGTGAGCGGGGAAACGATCTATAAGTATTAAGGAGCGAAAGATCGGTATATGACACGGAGATTTGATCCTGTCATCGTCGTGGAGAGTCAACGGGTCGCCGTCAACAGGAAAGCGCGGCGGCATGGCACGGCCCAGATCAACAAGCAAAGTCTTAAAGCTTGCGGAGTACTCGCCGATAGGAGGTGAATATATATCTCGTTCAGATTTCTCCAAGCAGCGTGCTCTTTTACTAATATGATCTAACTGTATAGTACAATACTGCTCAACATTTGTCTTCCTTTGTCTGTGGGCAATCTGCATTGGGTACACAGAAAGGCCCCTTTACAATGATCTACTTCAGTCCCAGTCGACTAAAAGGTTGTCTCAGCCATACCAATTGCTGCGCTATGACTGATGCCATTCCACACCCTCTGGCAATGGGCCTCTCATCGGGCTTTATTTCTAATGGACTGCTTTCAATCATTCCCAAGGATGGAGGATGAAGACCGAGGGCTGAGGCCGTCGTCTTTCCTCTTTGATCCCATGTAGCTGTCGGTCGGCCTTGTGCTAGTCGGCATTCGCCGTATTGGTCCTCCAAATTCCGTGTGAGCGAATCGTGGGAGCTTTCATTTGCTGCCTGATCTGTCGCGTTCCATGGTTGTCTTCAACTCCCTGGGATCTGTTATTTGCATGTCATTTCTCGCCGCTTCAATCTGAGACCCAGTAGCTGATGTTTGCTCTTCTCAAGGCTTTTCTTCAAGCTTTTGAGATTTCGCGTTCGTTGTGATCGCTTCCGTATGATGTTCAATGTCTCCTGAGCTGTTTTCAGCATATGCCATTGCCTCCTGGTTGCGCTTGGTTGCTGGGCCGCTATCTTCAACAGCGGTAGCTTCTGTTGAGACTGCCTGCACATAGTCTCCCACAGGCTTTTTGAAAGTCCTGAGGTGTCTGTACTTTTTGTCAACAACATCCGGTTCTTCTAGATGCTGTGGCAGGCCTAGAGAGAGCGGGCTGCTGCGATTGAGCGTCTCCAGTTTCGGAATCCGGTAAGTCTCTTTCTCTCCGCTCTCGATCCAGTTCCTCTGGACATGCTTTTCAAATCGGTCCGCCGCCTCTCGAAGTTCGCTCCACGCCGCTTCTTGCTGCTCAATCATTTTTGCCCTGACCTCCTCATCGTTCCACGCGTCCTCGAAGGAGCCCGATAGGGAGTAATGTTTGGGAAGGTTGAATTTTTGCAATTGTTTAGCATGCTCTGAACGATATTTTGGGGATGTCATGACCAGCCATCGAAGCTTCCAGCCCAACATCCCCAGCTCCTTAATTCGGGCAGGCTTCATTCCAGTGACATATTGATCTATTCCGCCACATTTGTTGATAGTCCTCATGACTCGAGCAGTGATGGGGATCTTGAGGTCTCTGTTCAAAGCTTCACTCCTGACAGTCTCGACCCGGACATTGGGGAACCAATGTCGCAAGGACTTTCCCTTGTTTCTGCCCTTGGAAATCTTACTTCCAGATTGTACTGTGGCACCACCATAGAGACCGAAATTTGCTTCAGGAAAATGTTTATTCTCGCCGTAGGGGTAGGGCGGCATCAAGGGGTCCGTATGTCGCAAGCGGTAAATGTCCAGCAACGTATGTTTCCTGTCTTCGAACTTAAAGGTGAATCTGGGTTTGAAGTATGGGCTGGAGTGTTTGACCGGCTGTCTGTATGAAAGATATTGCAGAGAGGTAGGGCTGCGGAGCACCTCGGGGAGCTTCGTGATAGTCGTGGGCGCCGCCATCGTGAAGGTTGACACCACCGGGTCCAAAATGAAGGGAGGTTGAGAAAAGGAAGGAGAAGGAAGGGCCAGAAAGGGGGGGGAAATACCCGCGTGTGGTTGTCCGCGCGGGCTGGTGTTGCTGGTGGACGGAGTATGAAAATATGAATACCAATTGAAATGTTCAACTTGGGTGGTTTTTAGCGTGGTTCAATCCTATTAATTAAATTTCTAACCGTGACCGCGACAGCTACCGTTTAACCACCGACACCCCAGTCGCCCTCTCTCACATCTTCTCAGCACCACGCGACTAACTTTTCCTTCCTTTTGGCCGCCTTTCGATCAATTTAGTGATAATGGTCAACATCAGCGAGGTCAAGGGCAATGCACGCGAAAACAGAACCGCGGCGCATACACACATCAAGGGATTGGGCTTGCGATCAGACGGCACCGCTGAACCTTCGGGCAATGGATTTGTCGGGCAAGCTGCTGCCCGTGAGGTATATGCATCTTGTGCAAATGAAAATGTTCATTCTTCTGACGTCTAGTAGGCGTGCGGAGTGGTTGTAGACCTCATCAAAGCCAAAAAGATGTCTGGAAGAGCTGTACTGTTAGCGGGAGGACCTGGTACAGGCAAGACAGCTTTGGCGTTGGCAGTATCGCAAGAGCTGGGAACAAAAGTGCCTTTTTGTCCTATTGTCGGCAGCGAAGTCTACTCTACAGAGGTCAAGAAGACTGAGGCGTTGATGGAGAACTTCAGAAGAGCAATCGGTAGGCTGAAAATCTCTATGCGCACAGTCGACTGCTCATTCACTGACCACGACAGGTCTCCGTGTACGCGAAACGAAGGAAGTTTACGAAGGCGAAGTGACCGAACTCCTCCCCGAAGAGGCAGAGAATCCACTCGGCGGCTTTGGGCGCACCATCTCCCACCTGATCATCACCCTGAAATCCGCCAGAGGGACCAAAAAACTTCGCCTCGACCCCAGCATATATGAAGCCATTCAAAAGGAACGAGTGACGGTCGGCGATGTGATCTACATAGAAGCCAACACGGGGGCATGCAAGCGGGTGGGCCGCTCAGACGCCTACGCGACGGAATTCGATCTCGAGGCGGAAGAGTACGTGCCCGTTCCGAAGGGAGAAGTGCATAAGAAGAAGGAGGTCGTGCAAGACGTGACGCTGCACGATTTGGACATTGCCAACGCGAGACCTCAGGGGGGCCAGGACGTTATGAGCATGATGGGCCAACTGATGAAGCCGAAGAAGACCGAGATTACGGACAAGTTGAGAGCGGAGATCAACAAGGTGGTGAGTCGCTACATCGACCAGGGCGTGGCGGAGCTGGTTCCTGGTGTGCTCTTTATTGACGAGGTGAGGATTTTGCTATTCAGCACGCCCCTGAAATGATATTGACAGGTCTTTGCCAGGTCCACATGCTCGACATCGAATGCTTCACTTATCTCAACCGCGCGCTCGAATCCCCCATCTCCCCGATCGTCATCCTTGCCTCAAACCGGGGCAACACCCTCATTCGAGGCACGCAAGACATCATCTGTGCGCATGGCATTCCTCCAGACCTGCTTGCCCGCTTGCTCATCATCCCAACACACCCATACAATGCCTTCGAGGTTCAGACTATCATTCGTCTCCGCGCAAAGACCGAGGGTCTTTCAATATCAGAGTCGGCGCTGGAGAAGGTTGCGCAGCATGGCACGAACGTGAGTCTACGATACGCACTACAGTTATTGACGCCCAGCAGTATTCTTGCCAGGGTCAATGGGAGAACAGAGATTGGTGTTGAGGATGTAGCAGAGTGTGAAGATCTGTTTATTGACGCGAGGAGAAGCGCCAAAGTCGTGGAGCAAGCAGGAACTTCATTCATTAGTTGAGGACACTGCAGGGAGAATGATCACCGCAGTCATTCATTGTCTGGCCCTTCACCAATCAGAGTGAAGACTTTGGCACGCGGAGAAAGGGGTTCAAAAGTGGAAAGATCAACAGTCGCCAGCCTGGCAGATGCTGTTCCCCACATTATGTCGAGCTTCCAGCTGAGGAGACTAACGAACCGACTCCGGAGCGGGCCAATGCGACCGCAACTGTGCTAGAGAAAGCGCAGGGATCATCGCGCTCAGCCGCACAAGCAGCGAAAGGTGCTCCGCGAGGCCCCATGAAGAAACGAAATCAAGACCGGCGAATGGCAGGGGGACGGGAAACATGTAAAACAGCCAGAATCTGAACGGTTCTTAAAATCTGAATTCATTTGAGTATATTTATTTGTCGCGCGGATTCCGCTTTCGGCTAGAATTGAGCTTTGCAACTTCTGCGCGATGACAGCATGACACGTGTATCCCATATGCAATATCTTCTCCCCGACTCTTTTATCTCCTTCCAAATGGACAAGTCTATCAGACAGACACATCGCAACTACGATGGGCCGCATGCAGCGCATGATCGGAGCAGAAGAAGACGCAGCATACCTGCACACAATATCGGTCAGCTCGCGGATTCGACAGGTCAATGGACAATGAGATGCTCTCAGATAAAAGTTCCAATCAGACATCCAAGGAAGATTTGCCGCTCAACGACACCTGGACTTAAAATGGGTTCATATGCCAGGGCTAGCGTGGAAACTGCGAATGTGGAAAAGGTTTTCATCATAGGAAAGGAGGGCGGACAAAGGCAGTGCGAGGCTGACAAAAATAGGAGACGTACCTTGACAGTTTCTCGTTCGCGAAGATGGCTCACATGTACCATGCAACCTCTTTTCTCGTTCCTGGACCGCCAGTTAGCGATAGAGTACACAACGAGAAAAAAGAACAGATGTTGCGGAGATGATCAATAGTCAGACATGAAATACTGGCTAGTAACAGACTGTTCAGCGATGACAGTCCGAGTGTTTCTTCAAGGGCGACTCAGGATAGAAAGAAGAATTGGAGTTTTGTCATCTTGCGAGCCACACACCAGAAGGGTGGAGAATCCGGGGAAAGGTGCTTACCATATCTACAGATGGCCCGTCAGCAAATATCATCCAACATCACTCATCACGACGTGGAAGGGAATTGAGGAAGCTGGAAGGGTGAGCACAGAGAGAATGCAGGTGAGAAGCGAAAATGAAAAAGAAGCGCTGAATTTATTTTCTGAAACGGCGAGCCGCTAGTGCTAGATCGGGTAAGGACTGTGGCCGCCAGACTGCTTGGCGAGCTGCTGGTTATTGGGCTCTTGGAGGTCGCTCAACTTGGGGCCCGACGGCCGCCTCTCCCCAAAGGCCCCAAGCCACTTCCTCCCCCCCAGCATCTTCCGTGATCTGTAAGTGTCTCTCCCTGCACCTGCACAACTGCACACCTGCAGATCCTGAAGTTGCACCTGCGACTTGGAACCTGATCTTCAAGTCTTCACCACTCGGGCTCGGACAGTGTTTGCCTTTCAGTCTCAACTGGCGCTCTCGCTGTCTAGTCACTCTTTTCACTCCCTCGTCGCCCTCGACTCTGCTCCAGGAGCCTGTCTCCTGATTTCCGACCGGTTCTCGTCGTCTTCTGCCCGGGGTCATCAGATCACGGGTACCACCCAGTGTACCAGCCCGATAACATCGCAACCGCAACGGCCGCAGCATTCGGATCATCTGCTTCGCCTGACGACTCGCTTTAACTTGCCTTCCTCACCTTATATGAGGATGAAGTGGTCATGAAGCCTCTGCGCGCCTCCATCACAGCCGCCACCGCCCGATGATTCGATTATCGTCGTTGTCGCGACACTGATCCAGCCCCGTAAGACGACCCTGGCCTGGCGAAACATCGCCCACACCAGATTTTCTACAAAACGCATCCACGCCGCGTCGACCGCCAGGAGGAAACCCATCGACCCCATACCTATCTGATTGTATGAAGCCTCCAGATCATACAAATGTGACAACACTTCACTCCGTTCCGAACAATTACAGCGTCTCTCCGCGAAAAAAAGTGGGGCCAGAGGGATCGGAGGTGGGAAAAAAAGAGAAGGATAAGAAACTCAACAGAAGTAATCAGAAACACTGCCCTACACCGTTACGCGGTCTTTGCGATACGACATATTCCCAGTAAGCTCCCCTGAAGATGATGGCCCAAAGTTTCCCGCATCATGCGGGCATCGCTCCGGGTCATCCTGGACTGCCTCCGGGCCATCCCATGGGAATGCAACATCCTGGCGCTGCTCACATGGGAGGTCAACCTGGTCCTGGCATGATGCAGGCCATGCACCCGGGGGTGTCTGCTCCTCAAGTTACTCAAGGTCCCATGGTTACTGGTATGCCGCCCGGTGCTGGAACTCCGGCCCCAGGCCCGATGCACAACGGCATGGCCATGGCCCATATGAACCCTCAGCAAGCCATTTTTCAACAGCATAACCCGCAGATGAATTATAGTCAAGGGATGATGACGCCGCAACAGCAGCAATTCATGGCTCGCCAGCGCATGATGCAGCAGATGTCGCAAGCTCAGGCACAAGGCATGCCCATGGGAATGCCAAATGCGCCCGGCTTTAATCAGGCACAGTTGGCGCAAATGAAGATGGGCATGGGCATGCACCCGCAAATGCAGATGAACCCCAACCATCCCCAGATGCAGACCCTGCAGCAACATCAACACAACCAGCAGCAGTTGATCCGAGCGCAGCAGGCCCAAGCCCAGGCGCAACAACATGCGGCGCAAATGGCAGCCGTTGCTCAGAACCAGAGGGCCGTGGCTCAACAGATGCAAATGTCACGATCGCAGGAACAAACCACTCAACCTCCACAATCGCAACCCACGCCCGCTCCACAGACACAACCTCCTCAGCAACCTCCTCCGACCTCACAACCCCAGGCTCAGCCAGCGCAACCCAAACCCCAACCGCCACAGCCACAACCCGCCAATAACCAACAACAAAGCCAGCCGGCCAGCCAACCAGTTAAGACGACGGAGCCAGAAGAGGAGCCTCGGATGAAGCAGCAGCAAGAAGCGGCCGCCAACATGATCCTGTCTGAACTACCGAAACAAGACATGATCGGTGGTCAGTGCATTCTGAAGCTGATCGAGTATCAGGATCTTCTCGCGCACCCGGAACGACCAAATGATTTGGACTACTGGGAAGCATTGATTACCAGGTTCTTTTCACCGATCGGATCGTTGAGGCAGCAGTTTTTCAACAACAAATCCGGCGGTGACAAATCCTTCCAGCTCCAGTTTCCTTCCCTGGCCCGCTACTACCACTCCTATTTTGCAAGCGGGGTTAAGCAAATCCTGTTGCAATCTTTCGAACATACCCAAACCAAGACAGCCAACGGCGGAGTCCATATCACGAGTAGCAGTGCGAGTCTGACCTATGTTTTTGGCAATGATATCCGAGTAACAACGAACGGACAGTTGCGCGTCCTTTTCGATGACGTTCAAACTATTGAGCACCTGAACATCAGCTCGACCGGATGGCAAGAGTACATTCCACGAAATGTGTTGTTACAGCCGACATCGCCGGAGCTGAAGCAGAGCCCCAAAATTACGAACAAGAACGTCAAACGAACACAAGGCAAGGCAAATGTACCAGGAGCAGGGCACGTAATACCCAGCTCGGGCGTTGGTGAATGGGGTGTCCCCCAGCACATCTCTCAGTTCTTAGAGGTATGTGGCTTTTTGGGAATGATCAATCAATGACTAATAGGTTGGCAGATTGCCGAGGTCATGACAGCCATGGGCCCACTCATGGAGTATTATCAGCAACATCCGGGAATCTCTCCCAAAGACACGTTACTGCGAGTCACGCAAGAGAATGCCCAAAACATGGCTCAGGCTAACAACACGCGTTTGAACCAGATGGCAAGGTCAGCCAATGGCCAAGTGATGTTTCCCAATCAGATGAACCCTGGCATGAACGGCCCAAATATGATGAACTCCCCTGCAATGGGGCACCTTAACGTTCCTCAAGCCCAAGGGTCGCCAATGATGGGAGGCCCGGTGCATACCCCCAGTCCTGCACAGAATCCCACCGCCGGAGGCGTGGCCATGATGCACCAGATGAGCGCTCAAGGGTCAAATCTCAGCGGTAGTCAAGGCCCAAGTACGAACACTAGTCCGAACGTTTCCAACAAGAGGCGACGTGCGAGTGTCGTCAAGTTAGAGGAAGAAAATGCGCCGGGGGAGGTGAATGGAGCCAACAAAGTCAAGCCAAGTCCAAAGCTTGGCAAGAGGCAAAAGGGATCTGCGTGAGGTTTGACCTGTCCCTTGGACTGATCCAGAGTTTGAACACAGGTCTCCTCGCCGGCAGATACCGAGGCAGTTCCGCTCTGCAGGAGGGTGTGGGCATTGACTGGCCCTAAGTTGTCTAGATGATCGAGATGCACTGCAGTGCGGTGTTTGAATGGATATTCTCCGGAGATGTTGTTTTCGTTTTTCTTCAATCGCATATACCCCTCGTAGGAGTTGTCTCCAAAGGGGTTTGGTGTCGGTGTTGAAAGTCGGGTTCCGGAAAGAATTTCTCTGCCTCTTTGCGGTACGGGGCTCCAAATGTGCCGATGAACAGATGTGTTGCTGTCTAGACGGGCCGCGACGACTTTTTCTTTGGGGAGCTTGCGACAAAGAGGCTTTGCACACGGAGAAAATGGGCGGCTGGGCAGCTTCGACGGGATTTTGTATCATTATTTCGACGTTCTATGTTTGTCACAGGGACGGATCTTGATGATTCGGTTGAGCTTGCAAGCCTCCGATGTTCTGGATATATCACGCTCGAACGCGACACGGGCATACGAGCGTCAAGTGGAGGAGTGCGATGCAGACATGCGGCGGCAGGCTGAACCTGAATCAAGTCGACCGACATGGATGAGAAAAGATGGTGCATGTGGGTGGACATTGGTACTGGCGCGCAGGACTCTGGTGGTAGCGGTGCAAGCAAGGAGGAGTGATATAGCGGTATAGCGGGTGGGCGTCGGGTTGGATACTGAGGATCAGGATCAGGGGTTATGTCAATCAAGTATCGCCGCTGCTTGCTAATAGAATTGAGATGTCTCCATGGGAAAATTCTACTTAATACTTTTCGAGATGTACTACGAGTCGGTTGTCCGGATGATGGAATGCCCTAAAGGGTGTGCAGCCTTGTAGTGAGGCCCTTTTGCATTGGTGAGGAGGCCCTCGAGCCGGGCGCAGAGTCGGAGAAACGTAATAATGTGGTGTACGGATTAGAGTACGAGACTACACGTTGAGTACTATTTGTTGCCTTTTCCACAGATGCATAAAATTGATGGTAGCCCCGTATGTCAAATCCTTCATTCCCTTATCAATCCGACTCTGCTTATTGCCATCAGCCCAACTTATTCCTGCGTGCAGGATCGCTGCCGTCTCAGCCGGCCGACGTTTGAATGGTATCTTTGTCTGCTCGACGCCGGAAACAAGCATACATCAGGATGTTAAAAGAGGGCCAAATGTCAAAAGACTCGAAGCCAGGCGCCGGAGTCGAGGCGATCCTGGTAGGCCTCTCGGGCCCTTCGTCGAGCGGGAAAACGACGCTGGCGAGACTGTTGCGCGACGTCTTCAATCTCGACGCCAAAGGGTGGAAAGTCAATCTATTCATCCTGCACCAGGATGACTTTTATAAAACGGATCAAGAGTATGTAACTGGTGCCCCTTTGAACCTCGATGGCTCCCGACATGTATCGCTTGGGCGACGCTCGAGAGCAAATCTGGGGGCTTCTTCACGAGCTACCATCCATGTTCGGATGATCAACCCCTAGCTAACTTGTACAAAGGATCCCGACGGTCACAGTATCGTCGAAAGAATTCGGCACCCGCGAACTCCAGGACTGGGACTGTATCGACTCGTTGGACCTTTCCTTGTTCGAACACACGCTCACCCACCTACGGGACCACGGAAATTTACCACCAGAAAGCGCGTCCAAGGAGGACCAGAACACCGTTGGACACAGTGGGGTCTCTCGTGCCGAGGTCGAGGAGCACAGAGAGAGGGTAAGGACGCGGATGGAGGAGCTTGTTCGGAGACGCGATAGCCAGAAGACAGGTGGCGGAGAGGAGGGAGAACGCGATGGAGGAGGCAAAGAGATCCGCATCTACATCGTCGAAGGATTCCTCCTCTACCCGCGACGGGCACCATCCTCGACTTCTTCAACCTTGTCCGAGCCCTCATCGTCCGACCATCCTCACTCGGCATCAGGATTGAACCGTCTCCACTACCTAACCCACTCGCTCCTGCATCCGCTCCTCTTCCTTCCTGCGACGCGCCCCCAGACCCTCTCCCGCCGGGCCGCCCGCACCGGCTACGTCACGCTGGAGGGATTCTGGGTCGATCCGCCGGGGTATGTCGAGGACATCGTCTGGCCCAACTACATCCGGTACCACGGGTGGATGTACAAGGATGGGAACGTGGACGGGGACGTCTTTGACGAGGAGAGCTGTGAGCGGGAAGGCGTGAGGGTCTGTCCGGGCGCCGGGGAATGGAAAATGAAGGAGGTGTTGGACTGGGGAGTCCAGAGGGTGGAAGAGGTTGTGCAGGAGCGGATACGAGGATTAAGCAATGACGGCTGAGAATGCGGTCGTGGCCGGGGAGGTGTTGTTGGATTGTGGTCCATTCTCTCAACGACATAGGCACCTCATCTTGTAGACTCGATACAGATGGACATACTTTCGATACTCGAGCTGTAGCTCAGGGCATGGTTTGTGTAGTCAAACGACGGGAAAACCGGCAACGCGAACGAGACAAGCCTTTCTGGTCAGTATCAACACTAGCATTACGGATAGAGCCGAACTCTGGCGACATCACGCAGCCTTTAGGATGGTCTATTGTCTATTCGACGGGAACTGCAAAGCCGGTCTCTTTGCTTTCTTTTCAACACCCCGTTTCAGGCCCTTGAGCGTAAGCCCATTCGAGGAAGTCTCAATCCCTCACCTTGACCGTATCTCTAGGCTTCTCATTTTCCTTCTCAACAAACCCCAGCCTGGGAGCCTTCTTCTTTCCGCGCTTATCCCCAAATTGTTCGTCAAACTTCTTGATGTCCCGCAAACTCGACATATCCTCCGAGATGCTTGCTGAAATCTCATCCAAGGCCTTGTCAAAGTGTTTCTTTGTGAGTGTACGTCGTTCGGGATGCTGATAAGGTTCCTCCCCCTTGTGCTGTTTGGCCAGCTCATTCTCTTCCCTGACACAATTCAATGCCGCAGCAACGGCGACGTTCTTCAAGTCGGAGCCCGAGTAGAACGGGGTCTTTTTGGCGAGATCCTGCAAGTTGACATCCTCGCCAAGTTTCTCGTGACGTAGGTGTATCTTGAGGATCTCCAATCTATCAGGCTCCCTCGGGAGGTCAACCAGCAAGCGGCGTGGCAAGCGGCGAAGAACTGCGTCATCGAGATCCATGGGTCGATTGGTTGCGACCATGATGAATGCGCTCCCCGAGTCGTTGCTCATCCCATCCCACTCTTTCAGAAATTGGTTGAGTAGCTCACGATGACTGACACGCCGGCCTTGATTGCTCCTCGCGCTGAACATAGCGTCAGCCTCGTCCAGAAAGACAACACAAGGCGATAGCTTCCTCGCTAAGCTAAACAGTGCCTTCACATTTTTCTCCCCTTCGCCGACATACATATCGTTGATGTCTGCCGCACTGACCTCAAGCATCGTCGCACCAGATTCTTTAGCGACTGCTTTCGCAGCAAGAGTTTTACCTGTGCCTGGAGGACCATAGAGCAGAAGTCCTGGGATCTTGTCAGAGGCGAGGACACCATATTTGAAAGCCTCGGGTCGAATGAGCGATAATGTCGTCAAGGTTTGGAGAGTATCAATGGTCTCGACGGGCATATGCACGTCGTTAAAGGTTGTGTTTAGATTTTTCGCCTCGATTATGCCGCCCATCAATCGTTTCTCGTATTTGGAGGCCGACGCGCGTATTCTGGCAAGTCGATCATCCTTATTCATATGCCGTTCTGGAACTTCTTTCTTTGCTTCTTTTGATTGCTTTTCGGCCCACCGAATTTTGGTCTTGTCACTGTGGTTTAGATGTGAAGTTGCAGCGCTAATGATGGGTTGTGGCTGGTCTAGGGTCATAGGAATGTCAGCCTCAGCGTCTCGATGCGCCGGAACAGCTCCTGCGATATAAGTGGCCAACCGTTGCACATATTGGTGATTCCAGACCTGCCCTTCCAAACATGATCTGTCGCTGCGAGTAATGCGGTCGGAGAAATCACCTCGCCAGAAGCCCGGTTCCAGATGAGCAAAGACAGATGGTTTCCAAAATCTCAGTGTCTCCCAGAGATGCCTCATGTTAATCGTGGCAATGCGTTGCTTCCGATCATGGAGGAGTGCAAGCTTGGATGTAGTGTTTGGTAAAACAGGTGTAAGGACAATGTTTTGTGACTTCCCATCTTGTACGCCGGTTTGGGACTCATTAATGCGTTCCCGAGTGAAGGGTTCCTGATCCTCCCGAGCAGAGTCTGTCCCAATCAGCAGAATGCATTCACCCTTGCTTCGTCGTTGAGCCAGTTGCCTGTGAAGGTTGTTCAGAAATGAGCGGCCCATGTCCAGACCCTGGATGGCCTTGAAGTCTCTGACGTGGACAATCACGGCGCCTTTTGGGACGCCGCTCCTTTTTGCTGCAATCTCCCGTTGTCGTTCTAGATCATTACTCGGCTCTTTCCCCAGCGATCCCGTAGCCGTTCGCCGATCCGACAAGCCCTTTAACAATTTGTATATGAGCCCCGACAGCGCGCCTTGATCATCCCGTGGTTTTTGGGGGTCGGTAAAGTCTGGCCACATTCTCAGCGTCCCTCGAGGCATTTCTGATCGCATACCATCCCCAAATTCTGGGAGTTGTCCGATTATCGTCTTCAAGATTGCCGTAGGCCTTCCGATGAACATGGGCATACCTATCCGAGGAGCAGCAGGTGCGGAATCCAGATCGTCTATCATATCGTCAATGTCTCCGTCGTCGTCGTCCACATCCTGAATCTCGTGTGATGAATGTTGTTCGGAGAGGTCTGGGAACGCGCTTGAAAGCACATCGTAGCTGAGCATACGGCCCGCCTTTGCCGTGCTTTGGTTTGTATGATTCCGGTGAATTAGGTCCGCAATATCCTGAGCATCTACAACCATTAAGTCACAGCCAAGCTGGCGTGCGATATCCTGGACAAGATATTCAAGTAGCAGATCGCCATCTTTGCCCGCATATTGCAGATGAAGGTGGTCTTTGAAGGACTCGACGCCATTTTGTTGACTCTGGTTCTGTGACACTTGCATGAGACCTCTTGCTGTCCGCATGACCTCTTCATATTGTTCGTCCACGACATAATACTTTGAGGATATCGAGGGATTCGGTGAAGAGGTCGGAGGAGGCAATGTTTCCGATAGCTCTGATTGGTCCTCTGCCAAGGGTTTTGTGCCATGCGCGTTGAGAGTCGAATGGGGATCGCTTCCTTTACCCTCTGAACCGTGGGAAGGAGGACAGCTGGGGTCCGGTGAGGAGCTTTGCTCAAGAGGCTCGCCGGTAATCAGATCTGCAGCCACTGTTTGAATTCTCGAGGGGGTAGCCGGAGCAAGAAACTCTGACCCAAAGAGAGTCACATTGCTGTCCATGAACCATTCTGAAGCTTGATTTTCCGTCTCGCCATCTTTGTTCATGCGATTCCGCAGCCTCCTTTTCGCGGGTGAGCCGTAGTAGTGTCTCGCTCGAGCATCGTCCGCAATTCGAGTGACGTGGTTCTCATGAGAACTGGGTCGACATTGATTGACGCGGGCCGATGGCTCTTCGATATGGTCACTTCCTCTTGCTACCTCTGACCGAGAGGATCCATGGCTTTTTGAATCATCACTGATCCCGCGGGTACTAAACGAGCTTATGCTACTCGACGGTTTCTGTGCAGTCCGAAGGCGAGGAGGCGTGCAAAAGGACCGGCGTGTGTTCCGCGATTGGCATTGAGCGCAAAATCGACAAGTGGAACATATGGCTTGCGAGAACCGTAGTTCCGCTTGAAAAGTAGAATGCATTCGAGCGAGAGGCGAGAAGGGCGTAGCACGGAGTAAAGAGAGGAAGGACTTGCCGCCGAAAACATTGAAATTATAGCGACAGGATCGGAGGAAATTAATACTCCGCCGTAGGATATCACACTCCTGGTTTACTCCGCCGGAATTTTTGACTCCTCGACTCCCACTTTTCGCCATGAAAAATCAGGGAGGTTTCCTTGGTCCCCCAAAGTAAGAAGATGGCGCCGACTATCTGCGAGATCTGTAAAGACTCGCGGGCGGCAGTGATTCGACCAAAGAACTCTCAAAAGATCTGCAAACAATGTTTTCTGTCCGTCTTCGAGGCCGAGATTCACGAAACCATCGTGAGGAACAAACTCTTCAGCCGGGGAGAACGCGTGGCCATCGGAGCATCTGGCGGCAAGGATTCAACAGTTCTCGCTTCAGTGTTGAAGACTCTGAATGAGCGCCACGACTACGGCCTAGATCTCGTACTCTTGTCCATCGATGAAGGTATCAAAGGTTATCGAGACGACAGTCTTGAGACGGTGAAGCGGAATGCCGTGCAGTACGCAATGCCCCTCGAAATTGTCGGATACGATCAACTCTATGGATGGACGATGGACCAAGTCGTGGCCCAGGTAGGCAAGAAGGGAAATTGCACATACTGCGGCGTATTCCGCAGACAGGCGTTGGATCGAGGGGCTGCAAAGCTTGGCATCAAACACGTCGTAACCGGTCACAATGCCGACGATGTTGCCGAAACTGTCATGATGAACCTGCTTCGTGGCGATCTGCCGCGACTTGCCAGGGCAACCTCTATTATGACCTCCAGTTCTGCGAGCGAGATCAAAAGGAGCAAGCCTCTGAAATATGCCTACGAGAAGGAAATCGTCCTCTATGCTCACCACAAGAGATTGGATTACTTCAGTACGGAGTGCATATACTCGCCAGAGGCCTTCAGAGGCAGCGCTAGAACGTTGATCAAGGATTTGGAGAAGATTCGGCCAAGCAGCATATTGGACATTGTGAGAAGCGGAGAGGACATGGCTGCCCTCGTGCCTCCCGAACTAGCCAGTTCTGCGTCCTGTGTAGTGGACGGTAATGAGCAGACAAACGGCTGTGGCGGTCAAAACCAGACGACCGACTCCATGGTCCAGTTGGAAAGGGACCTGACCGCCAACGAGGCAGCTGCTGAACGCGAAACCGAGGCCCAATTGCCCCAGCAAGCAAGCATTCACGACAAGAAACGACGAGGGCGTCGAAAAGTCGCCAAACAAGTCATGGGTCAATGTGAGCGATGTGGTTATCTTTCAAGTCAGAAAATCTGCAAGGCTTGTTCTCTGCTAGAAGGACTCAACAAGAGTCGGCCACGCACTGCCATTGAGGTAGGAATTGAAGATGAAGAGGGGAGTACGACGTTAATGAGGCAAATTGCTGGACTCGCCATTTCTGCTGGCTGAGCTTCAGGCGGTTTTCCGTCGCGAGGCTATCCCTCTATCGAGCGCTGTGGCCACTGACAACCATGCTCTTTCTATCAGCAACAGCGCTATCTGCATGAGGAGAATAGCCAGCCTCAGCAAATAATTCTTCATGGTCAAAGTTGGCCTCTTGCCTCCAGACAACGTCGAATCGACAAACTCAAAAGGCAGCTTTGCTCCCAAATGATTCATGGCGACCGACAGTCCACTACTAAAGCCATCTTCATGAAAGCCATATTTAGTCCACGCTCCGCAGTAGCTGATGTTCTTGGTGGTTTGAATCTTGTACAACAGTTTCTGTGACCTGATGGCGGCGGCATTGTACAGGGGACGAGAATATTCCCATATGCCCTGCGCCAGCCGAGGATCGGGCATGCTCAAGGGATTCAATGTGACCAGGATGGGACCAAACGTGTGCTCTGGTATTTCGTGGATTGAATTCATCCAGTATGTTAGACAGCCTTTGGAAACGTTCTTGCCCCTGGTAGGCGGGAATGGGGACTCGGTGATATAGTTCAAGGATGACCAGGCATGCCGTCTCTTTGGCATCAGGGAGAGATCCGAGTGTAATACGGCAACATTCCTACTGGTGGCGAAACCACTCAAAATTTCAATCTCCTCTCTGGTTGCTAGTGGTCGCATGATGTCCAGAGCTTGAGCACCCTGCGTCGCGATTATTACGTGGTCGAATTCATGGTCTTTTCCATTTGCCCTGAGCATGACAACGCCTTTGTCACCCGAGTTCAGTATGGTCACTCTGGATTTGAGGTGGATTCGGTCACTAGGGAAGTCTTTCACCACTGCCTCGATATACCGCATCGTTCCGGCGGAAATGGTCCAACAATCTGGGAGTTTTGCCATGGTACTCAGCATGCCTTGGTTGTACATAAACCGAATCACTGTGCTGGCCGGGAGCTCCAGAGAACAGTGATGAGGACTCATACTCCAGATGGCGGCCATCATCGGAATGAGATAGTTGTCACGGAACTCCTGGGAGTAGTGTTCGCGGTCAAGATATTCGTCAATGCTTTCTCGGAACTGGGGTTTAGTCTTGTGCTTAGTTTCTTGAGTGGTGGTGTTATCCTCGCCATCATCTTCTAGCAGGAGATCAAGTGCGAACTCGTTGAACCGGATGACTTCAAAAATCAACTTCCACGCGGCAGGATTGAAGAAATTCCTCCTTTGGGCAAAGATGGAGGACCACGATGTCCCCGCCCACTCAACCGTCCCTTGGTCGCGGGAGACACTAAAGGTCATGCCCGTCTTCTTAGTCGGGATACCCAGCCCCTCGAGGAACCGGATGAAGTTAGGGGAGGTAGCAGCATTCATGACAATAAAGCCGGTATCGACTTCGATCTTGTGCCCATAGGGCCCTTCGTAGGCGATGGAATTCGTGTGTCCGCCTAGACGTGACGCTGCCTCGAACAGGTGGACTTCATGGCTAGTACTGGTATTGAGCGCCCACAAAGCACCAAGACCCGAGCAGCCGCTGCCCACGATTGCAACACGCTTTCCCATGGTTGCGAGACTCGAGCGGGCTTAATTGTCAACCGACCCGTGAGATTTCGACCTGCGGCCTCAATCCTCCGAGTAGTTAATGGTTTAGCCGTCTCACCTTCAGATCATTGCTCGAGCTGGGGTGCTCGAATTGCGGGCCATCGGCCAGTCCATGATTTCAAGCCTCTGAATCAAATTGTCTGTGTTGAGAGGTCCTGGTCTTTGCCTGCCAGCAGAAGTCCAAATGAAAGCTGTGCTTGGGGATAACTGGCTCGCTGGGTACCTCGTTGGTACATACCATACCCGTAAATTGCAGTAAAACGAGGGGCAAAAGCGGCGTCGGCGATTTCCGAAACGGGACCGCCTTTCGACCATCGAGCCGTTCTCGCCTCTGCCGACGTCAATTGCGATCAGACACTGCGTCCTCTCACTGCGCCTCACAACCTGATAACCAGAATTTGATCATCCCATCACTTTAAAACCGCCACCTTATAGACCGATCTACCTATCCTCCTGTCCGCGAACGACCTTCTCCGACACGCGAACGATCTGCTGCTCAGCGCTTCACTTCCCTTCTAGTCCTTGTTCTCCAGCGATATACTGTAATTAGGCGCCACCGAATCCCACCAAGTCCCTGGAACTCATCTCCCAGCCTTCAGCTAGGTTCCACCACTATGGCAAACCCACTTGACACCGATGCGGGCTCGGAGCTCTTTAGCACCTATGAAGCCGAGCTGAAACTCGTCCAGGCAGACGTAAACCAGAAACTGGACCAGATTCCCGAACTCGCGGGGGAGGAGAGGAAAGCTGTGATCCGGGGTGCGGAGAGGGCCATCGATGAAGCCAAGGAGTTGGTAGGTATTTTTGTTCCAAAGGGATCTATACTCGCTCTGACTTGGGAATAGCTCGACCAAATGAACTTGGAAAAATCAAACATTCCGACCTCTCAACGGAGCAAAGTAAACTCGCGTTTCCGTAACCATCAGTCCGACATCGACACCCTCCAACGGAAATTGAAGTCACTCGCCGAGTCCGAGCGCAAACAGCTCTTCGGCGACAGATACACGGATGACCCCGACGCCGGTCCGAGAGATGCACAGTTGGAGCAACGCCAGCAGCTACTCTCTGGCACCGAGCGGTTGGGCAGGAGTTCAGACCGGTTAAGAGAGTCCCATCGGATAGCATTGGAGACGGAACAGATCGGGGCATCTACGCTGGCAGATCTTCATCAGCAGAGGAATGTGATTGAAAACACGCATCGAAATCTACTGCAGAGTGAAGGTTACGTGGATCGGAGCGTTAAAACCTTGAGGGGAATGGCGCGCAGGTAAGCATCTCCTTGTTGACATTCATGATTGATCCCGGGAAGCTGACATATATGCTTTGATTTTGGTGAAACAGGATGGCAACGAATCGGGTGATTACCATCGCCATCATTACTGTGCTCGTGCTGCTTATCATTGGCGTAATATACAGCAAGTTCAAGTGAGCGATCTCGTGTGCTTGGGTTGACCTGGCATGATTGGTTGTTGCAGTCAATCATGCTGTCGTACATATGGAATGATGGAGAAGGCGCATACAAGGTCTTGAATCAGCACCTGTGATAGAAGTCTTTGCTTCAGAAGTCTCCCTAGGGGTATCGGTCCGGTTGGTATGCTTTCAGAGGGAAAAAAGGCAAGAAACTATGCAATGTGCCCCAGGCAGAACATGGCTTATACTTTCCAAGTTGGGATACGGCATGTTCTCGACTAGATGTCTCTGGTGACCCATGCGCCGTTTCGTCCACCCATCTAATCATGCACAACCCACATGTTTCGGGCTTTGAATGAAATTCAACCCGTATATCTAATAATGCCTAATCCAATATTCAGGAGAAATCCTACAATCACCGCCATTTTGCGTCGCTGGCTCCAGATGCCTTCCTCGCGCACTCCCCACATAAGACATCCGATGGGCCAAAAGAATCCCATAGCCGTGCCCCAGATAATGTCATCCAGAGCTCCAGCTGAAACATCCTCGTCGCCGATCCCAGCAGAGGCTCCCGGGCCTATTTCCATGCCTAGATCGGCATTGGCGCCCGTGGAGTTATCGAGCCAGCGATCTTCCATATTCCGCAACGTGTTGGGCGACGGCATGGTGTCGGGAGTATGTGTGTGTGCTTGGATAGCGAGGAATTGAAGCCTCAAGGATTGCACCTCGGCGGCGCTGAAGCCAGAGTTGAGGAGGCGGTCGAAGCCGCGAGGTGCGGGTGTGGTTGTAGTCTGCTGGTTTGGGACGCCCGCTTTGTCCTCATCTTGATCCTCTCTTGGTTGAGCTGCAGCGGCGATGGCGGCTTCGGCTGCAAGCTCTGAAGCAGAGAGGACAATGTCTCCTATAGAGCAGTGGATGTAGATTCTTGACTGCGACGGGGGATCCCGTACAGGCTGCTTGCCTTTCCCATTATCTACTCTCCCGCCGCCCGAGATCCCGCCCGCTGCGCCATTTGGTCTGTCATCGTATGGCCCGGGGGTGCCAATCCGACTCGGCGGTCTGGAGACGTTCCTTTTTAACGAAACGGTGAGCGGGACGTCGTCCACGAGGGCCTTTCCCGCATGGATCAATCGAATGCGGTGTTTCGCGTGTTCATCTGGGATGCGCGAACGAATGAGCTGCTTTAGTGTCGCTGTATTTGCATTCAGGGAAGCAGGGATCGAAAGTAAGAGGTCAGGAAGGGAGGCAGAGAAGCGAATAGTCAGGTCGAAATCGTAGTCTTCGTCACCTTGTGGTTGTTGATTTTGGAGGAGGGGTAGTTTTAGGGACATAAGGGCGGTGCAGAGGATGTTCTGCGGTCGCCCAGTGCGGGCATGCCGTACGACACCAGTTCTATGAAGGTCAGTGCATGGGAGTGGTATTGAGACCTGATCGTGAGAACGGGAGGCGATGGGTTTGATGTTGGGATGGATGTTGGAGATGATGGTCTCCACTGTAACCAAATACGAAGTACGAAAAGTACGTTGGTACTGACAGCGGAGTATGAAAAAACTACTCGCCGAGCCTTTACCAAATTTCTTTCAACATCGCCACAGCGACCTGCGCTGCACTATCTGACCCTCACAACCTCATGCCTTCCAAGACCTTTGTGCTCGGCAATCATGGGGAACGGCAATACCTGAGACGAGCAATTTTCATTGTGAAAGTGATACCGTCGTTATGCGCTCGAAAGGGCCGCAGCAGTGAAGGGTCAACGGCTGAAAAGATGGATCAACCAGAAATTACGATATCTTCAAGCTGCAGTTCTCCTGGTGAAATGCCTGACGCAGCCCACCTGTTTCATACTGCAGCCGACTGTGGAACAAATCACTTGAAATTTAGCACTTTAGAGAGTCGAGATTTATGTGAAAGAAGACGAAAGAACTGGTAAGTACATGGAAGAGGATGGCCCTGCAAAAGATCCATCCCGGATATAGTCCGTTCATTAGTTAAGTCGAAAGGAGTAAATCTTCTAT